GAGAAGGAACATTGGGCAAAACAGGTCCACAAGAGAAGACCAGCCGGACCAATAGCAAAATGGTCCAACTCTTCATGGGACCATGGAAGGTTCCATGGTAGGAATGAGGTTGCCGGGCCAGACAACCAGTTTGAAACAAGATATCCAAGGAAAGTGAAAAGGCTCGGTTTAATATTCCGTAAGGATTGCCAAATGACCCCGAGACTGATGGAAAGCATAAGAGTACCAACCATGAAAACAGAGGTAGGGGTCCAGAAGAGGTACCGCTACAAGGGTAGCCAGGAATGAAGGGATACCACCACCCCAGCTTGGTGTATGTGTGTGACGAACCGTCCCTTTGTGATCACATTTTGCCCTTTCTGTTCTGGTTTTCTCCCCTCGGTAAGTGGTCTTTCCATTCTCCCCTCGGTAAGTGGTCTTTCCATCCTCCCCTCGGTAAGTGGTCTTTCCATTCTCCCCTCCATAAAGCTGTATATGTTTAGTAGCTGTTATGTAGACAGACATTCTACACTGTTTGTTTAGGGAAATGTGACCTTGTAGTCTTTCACTTCTATAGAGTTCATACTATATTGTTGGTTGTGGGTTTTTTTTTTTGTGGGTGGGGGAAACCCGGTGCCAGGCTGTCTGGTGGGGGTGAAGCTGTATATACTGAGCTGTGTTCAATAAAGATTGATTCATTTCACCCTATACGAAGTTCCGACTCGTGGTTTGGGATATCAGGGAAGGATTGGTTTTTGAGCTCTAATACCTGCCCTGGCAGAGTTCTGGAAGACTTGCAGGACAAGGGGACCATTGGCTGAGACGCATCACTCTGCACGAGGAAGCCCAGGTGGAACGGTTCCGCCCCAACTGGTTGGCAGCGGTGGGATCTTTCCTCATAGCGGAGAAAGTCCAAACCACCAACCGGGACCCCATCTTTTTCACGGAGACGTCCCTGCTCGGCCAGATGGATATATACGGGACCTCCGGAAGCCAGCTCTCCAAAGCCTGCTTGTTGCTCGGGGAGGTATCGCTGGCTCCAAGACCAGAGAGGATCTGTAGGACGAGATTATGGCCCTGGACCAAGCGGATGCACACCCCACATCACCTGATGCACACACTCCGCTACGCTTGAAGTGAACACTGATCCGCCAGAAGCGAACTCCGCTTCACAGGAGGAGTTGGAGGAACAGAGCAGCTCATCGGCCCCTGAAACGCCAGGCCCACTTAGCACCGTACGGAGACCCCTATACCATTCAGATTTACAACAAGAGGTGGAGTGGCGTTTGTCTCTGTTTGGCAACGCTCCCACCTCTGAACAGACTTCCAAGGCCCTGGACGATGCCACCCAACTGCGGCTTAGTCACTCCCGGTCATCAACCGAGGACTCGGTCTGGGAGGGGATTACCTCCCGCCTTCTCCAGACTGCAACCGGACCAAAGACTACAAAGTCACATTTCCCTAAACAAACAGTGTAAAATGTCTGTCTACATAACAGCTGCTAAACATATACAGCTTTACCGAGGGGAGAACGGGAAGACCACTTACCGAGGGGAGAACGTGAACACCACTTACCTAGGGGAGAACGGGAAGACCACTTACCGAGGGGAGAACATGAAGACCACTTACCGAGGGGAGAACGGGAAGACCACTTACCGAGGGGAGAACGGGAGACCACTTACCGAGGGGAGAACAGGAGACCACTTACCGAGGGGAGAACAGGAAGACCACTTACCGAGGGGAGAACGGGAAGACCACTTACCGAGGGGAGAACGGGAAGACCACTTACCGAGGGGAGAACCGGGAGACCACTTACCGAGGGGAGAACGGGAAGACCACTTACCGAGGGGAGAACGGGAAGACCGCTTACCGAGGGGAGAACGGGAAGACCACTTACCGAGAACAGGAAGACCACTTACCGAGGAGAGAACGGGGAGAGACCGCTTACCGAGGGGAGAACGGGAAGACCACTTACCGAAGGGAGAACGGGAAGACCGCTTACCGAGGGGAGAACGGGAAGACCGCTTACCGAGGGGAGAACGGGAAGACCGCTTACCGAGGGGAGAACGGGAAGACCGCTTACCGAGGGGAGAACGGGAAGACCGCTTACCGAGGGGAGAACGGGGAAGACCGCTTACCGAGGGGAGAACGGGAAGACCGCTTACCGAGGGGAGAACGGGAAGACCGCTTACCGAGGGGAGAACGGGAAGACCACTTACCGAGGGGAGAACGGGAAGACCACTTACCGAGGGGAGAACGGGAAGACCGCTTACCGAGGGGAGAACGGGAAGACCACTTACCGAGAACGGGAAGACCACTTACCGAGGGGAGAACGGAAGACCACTTACCGAGGGGAGAACGGGAAGACCACTTACCGAGGGGAGAACGGGAAGACCACTTACCGAGGGGAGAACGGGAAGACCACTTACCGAGGGGAGAACAGGAAGACCACATAACAAGGGGATAAAACCAGAACAGAAAGGGCAAAATGTTATCACAAAAGGACGGTTCGTCACAATGTGAACACCAGAAGAGCAAGAGGATGAGCAATACCAATATACCTTAACACCCAGAGGTGCCTCTTGGCCTTACAGAAGGTTTGAAACAACCCCCATAAATATGACTCAATGGCAGAAGACTGAAGTGCCCCCAAAATGCCTCAGAAAAAAGCTTGCTGGAGTTCTGAATCTGAAACAGACATAGTAACTGGAGCCCCAGGACTAGTTTGACTCTACGGGGGATGGTGCCAGTGCATGCTTAGAGCCTCTCAGTGGACAGAGTGCTCCCTTACATGAGCGTAAATAGTTTGAATGTCCAGAATGGACTTAGAGGTCTTTGTTGACACAGAGGAGGCCACAGCCATAGCTGATGGAGATGATGGAGCTAGGGAAGACTCTGATGATGGTGACCTTGTAATAGGTTCCAAATGGGGATACCAGATAAACTCCCACAGAACCTTCGAGGGGAACATGGGCCAAGGTCTACCATGGCAGTGGGACTGTCCTCTCTGTGCCTTAGGGAGGGTGTGTTGTGTCACTGCAGCAGTAATGCAACTGGGCCCAATATGAGGTCAGGCCTAAAGTACCCACAAACCCAGGCAGCTGGTGTTGAGGGTTTCAGGTGGTGGATTTTGACCAAGTAACAGTAGGTGGGCAGTAGGAACAGACCAGAAACTGCAGATCCATGTGGTGCTTCCTGGGCAGGAGCAGCAGCAGGATGGCGCTTCTTCCAGGCTGAATATCAGGAACGAGAGCATGGAACGGGGGTCACGTCAGGCAACAGATGACATCAGTGCTTAGTTCCTCAGCTTTGACCCTTGGGGCTTGTTCACACTTGCTTCAAAATCTGGCATTGGACAAGGTTTTTTAAAGCACTTTGAATGCCATCAAAGCTCCTGTCCCCACATAAAATGGTGACCTTACAGTCCTGTTCACACGTTGTATTTGCTTTGCTTCTCTTCAAAAATTATACCCCGTGTTGCTTTTTTGCTGCTTCAAAGCGTCTCCAAAGCCTCCATAGAAGTCTATGACAAAGCTCGCTCATACCGCACCTGCAGCTTTTGAGGGGATTTTATTCAGAGTTAGCTTTGCTTTGTTTTGGAGGTATTGCTGATATGAGATATCCCATGATGCACCGGGAAACCAACAAACAAACCAGAAAGGCGTCATCAGCAGTCACCTCTGGTTCATGCGTCTATATTCTGGGAGTGTCTTGTGGGGGATCAGCGGAGCTGTGGATTACTATCGAGTGGGGGATCAGCGAAGCTGGGGGTTACTACCAGGGGTGGACTGACCATTTGGAACCTCGGGCACTGCCCGAGGGCCTGGGGTCAGTAGGGGGCCCCATGAGATGCCCCTGGTACCTTTTTCATAGGCTTTTTTGAGTTTGGGCAAGGACACAGGGGCCCCATGAGTATCCAGTCCTCCCCTGGTTACTACTGAATGTGGGATCAGCAGAGCTGTGAATTACTATTGAGCGGGGGATCAGCAGAGCTGGGGGTTACTACTGAGCGGGGGGATCAGCAGAGCTGGGGGTTACTACTGAGCGGGGGATCAGCAGAGCTGGGGGTTACTACTGAGCGGGGATCAGCAGAGCTGGGGGTTACTACTGAGCGGGGGATCAGCGGAGCTGGGGTTACTACTGAGTGGGGGATCAACAGAGCTGAGGCTAACTACTGAGTGGGGGATCAGCAGAGCTGTGGTTTACTACTGAGCGGGGGATCAGTGAAGCTGAGGATTACTATCGAGCGGGGGATCAGCAGAGCTGGGGGTTACTACTGAGCGGGGGATCAGCGGAGCTGGGGGTTACTACTGAGCGGGGGATCAGCGGAGCTGGGGGTTACTACTGAGCAGGGGGATCAGCGGAGCTGGGGGTTACTACTGAGCAGGGGATCAGCGGAGCTGGGGGTTACTACTGAGCGGGGGATCAGTGAAGCTGTGGATTACTATCGAGCGGGGGCGTCAGGGGGAGCGGGGGCTACCACTGAATGGCCCCTTTTTATCCAGATTTAAATCTAAGGGATCAGCTTAAAGCTCTGCTTACATTTTGCCTTTCTTGGTCTCAGTTTTCATTACATACCTAATTGTAGACCCTGTGATGTCATCACTGGGTCTCTGCACTTCTCTATGCATTGCAGCAAGGTCATGACTGGTAGGAGGAGCCAGAAAGGGGGCTGGACATAGCTTGTTGAAAACGTCACAGCTCCCTGCCTCAGTCCTCCTCTGAAGAGCCCTCAGTCCTGATGCCAGCAGGCTGTATTTGCAGGCAGACCACCGTAGGTAAAATTCCACGTAATGCTGAGTCTCCATGATTGAAAGAACTGAAACTCAATGAATGAAAGGGGCGGGGCCAGGGACAGTCAGGATGGGAAGGAAAATGTTGGATGATGCTGGATGTCCTCCAACCAGGAAATGAGGCGGAGCTCTCCCTGACTGGCTACAGCTTCTAATGCACATTGTGAGACACTCCCAGTGTGCAGTGACATCAGAGGAAGCCATTTCAGTCCAGGGGAGGAGCCGAGACACCTGTGCAAGACTGAAGGGGAGGAGCCAGTACACCTGTGCAAGACTAAAGGGGAGGAGCCGGTACACCTGTGCAAGACTGAAGGGGAGGAGCCGGTACACCTGTGCAAGACTAAAGGGGAGGAGCCGGTACACCTGTGCAAGACTGAAGGGGAGGAGCCAGTACACCTGTGCAAGACTAAAGGGGAGGAGCCAAAACACCTGTGCAAGACTAAAGGGGAGGAGCCAGTACACCTGTGCAAGACTGAAGGGGAGGAGGCGGTACACCTGTGCAAGACATGAAGGGGAGGAGGCGGTACACCTGTGCAAGACTGGAGGGGGAGGAGCCGGTACAAGGAGCCAGTACACTGTGCAAGACTGGAGGGGAGGAGCCAGTACACACTGGACTAAAGGGGAGGAGCCAAAAACACCTGTGCAAGACTAAAGTGTAAGACTGGAGGGTGCAAGGAGCCAGTATACCTGTGCAAGACTGGAGGGAAGGAGCCAGTACACCTGTGCAAGACTAAAGGGGAGGAGCCAGTACACCTGTGCAAGACTAAAGGGGAGGAGCCGGTACACCTGTGCAAGACTGAAGGGGAGGAGCCAGTACACCTGTGCAAGACTGAAGGGGAGGAGCCCGTACACCTGTGCAAGACTGAAGGGGAGGAGCCCGTACACCTGTGCAAGACTGAAGGGGAGGAGCCGGTACACCTGTGCAAGACTGAAGGGGAGGAGCCAGTACACCTGTGCAAGGCTGAAGGGAAGGAGCCAGTACACCTGTGCAAGACTGAAGGGGAGGAGCCAGTACACCTGTGCAAGACTAAAGGGGAGGAGCCGGTACACCTGTGCAAGACTGAAGGGGAGGAGCCGGTACACCTGTGCAAGACTGAAGGGGAGGAGCCGGTACACCTGTGCAAGACTGAAGGGGAGGAGCCGGTACACCTGTGCAAGACTGAAGGGGAGGAGGCGGTACACCTGTGCAAGACTGAAGGGGAGGAGCCAGTACACCTGTGCAAGACTGAAGGGGAGGAGGCGGTACACCTGTGCAAGGCTGAAGGGGAGGAGCCAGTACAACTGTGCAAGACTGGAGGGGAGGAGCCAGTACACCTGTTGCAAGGCTGAAGGGGAGGAGCCAGTACACCTGTGCAAGACTGGAGGGGAGGAGCCAGTACACCTATGCAAGACTGGAGGGGAGGAGCCAGTACACCTGTGCAAGGCTGAAGGGGAGGAGCCGGTACACCTGTGCAAGACTGGAGGGGAGGAGCCGCTACACCTGTACAAGACTGAAGGGGAGGAGCCGCTACACCTGTGCAAGACTGGAGGGGAGGAGCCGCTACACCTGTGCAAGACTGGAGGGGAGGAGTTGGTACACCTGTGCAATACTGAAGGGGAGGAGCCGGTACACACCTGTGCAATACTGAAGGGAGGAGCCGTACACCTGTACAAGACTAAAGGGGAGGAGTCGGTACACCTGTGCAAGACTGAAGGGGAGGAGCCGGTACACCTGTGCAAGACTGAAGGGGAGGATCTGGGGGAGGATCTGCAGAGTATGAATGGCTCTGGCAGTTGTCTGACATTTGGGGAGATATAGAAACACAGAAATCAGCGATATGAACGGTTCTAGACGGAGCGGCTCCCAGGACACCTCCACGCAATCCTTTCCAGGCGGCGGCGGTGGCTCCCCCGGTATGAGCGGCGGTCAGGGGACCCATTCATCCCCCCATAGCAGGTAATTGTTGTGTTAATGATAATGAAATCAGTGTTACCATAGAAACAACCGAAGACCTTCATTAATTTCACTCATTTCATCGCCTTCATCTAAACTATTACAATGTAATTACTGAGACCAAAAATCCGACCCCCGGAGTGCGCAGATATCGGGATCCGGCATCTGGATCCAACGTATACCGAGAATCATACGGGACAATACAGAGCCCATACATGGAGAAGAAGGACAGATACCGAGAATGACCCCCACATACAGGACAATACAGAGACCATACATGGAGAAGCAGGACAGATACCGAGAATCACCCCCACATACAGGACATTACAGAGACCATACATGGAGAAGAAGGACAGATACCGAGAATCACCCCCCCACATACAGGACATACAGAGCCCATAAATGGAGAAGAAGGACAGATACCGAGAATCACCCCCCACATACAGGACAATACAGAGCCCATAAATGGAGAAGCACAGATACCGAGAAATGACCCCCACATACAGGACAATACAGAGACCATACATGGAGAAGCAGGACAGATACCGAGAATCACCCCCCCCCCCCCACATACAGGACAATACAGAGACCCATACATGGAGAAGAAGGACAGATACCGAGAATCACCCCCACATACAGGACAATACAGAGCCCATACATGGAGAAGCACAGATACCGAGAATGACCCCCACATACAGGACAATACAGAGACCATACATGGAGAAGAAGACAGATACCGAGAATGACCCCCCCACCCCCCACCCACACATCATACAGAAGACAATACAGAGCCCCCCATACATGGACATACAGACAGATACATGAGAAGAAGACATGACCCCCCACATACAGGACAATACAGAGCCCGTACATGGAGAAGAAGGACAGATACCGAGAATGACCCCCACATACAGGACAATACAGAGCCCATACATGGAGAAGACAGATACCGAGAATGACCCCCACATACAGGACATACAGAGCCCATACATGGAGAAGGACAGATACCGAGAATGACCCCCCCCCCACCCACATACAGGACAATACAGAGCCCCCCCCCCCCCCATACATGGAGAAGGACAGATACCGAGAATGACCCCCCCACATACAGGACAATACAGAGCCCATACATGGAGAAGGACAGATACCGAGAATGACCCCCACATACAGGACAATACAGAGCCCGTACATACAGGAACAATACAGAGCCCATACATGGAAGAAGGACAGATACCGAGAATGACCCCCCACCACATACAGGACAATACAGAGCCCGTACATGGAGAAGAAGGACAGATACCGAGGAATGACCCCCCCCCCCACATACAGGACAATACAGAGCCCATACATGGAGAAGGACAGATACCGAGAATGACCCCCCCACACATACAGGACAATACAGAGCCCATACATGGAGAAGAAGACAGATACCGAGAATGACCCCCCACATACAGGACAATACAGACCCCATACATGGAGAAAGGACAGATACCGAGACAGACCCCCCAATACCGACAGAATGACCCCATGGAGAACAAGAATGACCCCCTCCCAGGACAATACAGAGCCCATACATGGAGAAGAAGGACAGATACCGAGAATGACCCCCACATACAGGACAATACAGAGCCCATACATGGAGAAGGACAGATACCGAGAATGACCCCCCCACATACAGGACAATACAGAGCCCATACATGGAGAAGGGACAGATACCGAGAATGACCCCCACACATACAGGACAATACAGAGCCCATACATGGAGAAGGACAGATACCATGAGAATGACCCCCACATACAGGACAATACAGAGCCCATACATGGAGAAGGACAGATACCGAGAATGACCCCCACATACAGAACACAATACAGAGCCCATACATGGAGAAGGACAGATACCGAGAATGACTAGCACATACAGGACAATACAGAGCCCATACATGGAGAAGGACAGATACCGAGAATGACCCCCACATACAGGACAATACAGAGCCCATACATGGAGAAGGACAAGATACCGATCATGATGAAGGACCCATCAACACAGGACAATACAGAGTTCCCAAGGAATCACATCCTACCATCAATGTTCCCCACATCACGTTCCGCAATACAATGGTACCCCATTCACAGATCAAGGAGTTCCCCAATCACACCTCCAATCAATGTTTCCCCATCACGTCCTCCATCAATGTTCCCCATCATTCCTCCAACAATGTTCCTCCCATCACATGTCCTCCCATCAATGTTCCCCCCATCACGTCCTCCATCAATCCCCCATCACGTCCTCCATCAATGTTCCCCATCACGTCCTCCATCAATGTTCCCTTATCACGTCCTCCATCAATGTTCCCATCACGTCCTCCATCAATGTTCCCCCATCACGTCCTCCATCAATGTTCCCCATCACGTCCTCCATCAATGTCCCCCACACGTCCTCCTCCAACAATGTTCCCCATCACGTCCTCCATCAATGTTCCCCACATAAAGTGTCCTCCTCACATCCCTCCATCAATGTTCCCATCACATCCTCCATCAATGTTCCCCATCACGTTCCTCCATCAATGTTCCCCATCACGTCCTCCATCAATGTTTCCCCCATCACATCCTCATCAATGTTCCCCATCACGTCCTCCATCAATGTTCCCCATCACATCCTCCACATCCTCCATGTTCCCCATCAAGTCCTCCATCATCCTCCTATCCTCCATCAATGTTCCCCATCAATGTTCCCCATCACATCCTCCATCAATGTTTCCCATCACGTCCTCCATCAATGTTCCCCATCACGTCCTCCATCAATGTTCCCCCATCACGTCCTCTCATGAATGTTTCCCCATCACATCCTCCATCAATGTTCCCCCATCACTCCCTCCATCACATCCTCCATCAATGTTCCCATCACATCCGGCCATCAATGTTCCCCATCACATCCTCCATCAATGTTCCCCATCACGTCCTCCATCAATGTTCCCCATCACGTCCTCCATCAATGTTCTCCATCACATCCTCCATCAATGTGTTCCCATCACAATCCTCCATCAATGTTCCCCATCACATCCTCCATCAATGTTCCATCACGTCTTCCATCACATCCTCCATCAATTTTTTCCCCATCTTGTCCCCATCCATCCTCATCAATGTTCCCCATCAATCTCCATCAATGTTCCCCATCACATCCTCCATCAATGTTCCCCATCACGTCCTCCATCAATGTTCCCCATCACATCCTCCATCAATGTTCCCCATCACGTCCTCCATCAATGTTCCCCATCATTTTCCATCACATCCTCCATCATGTTCTCATCACGCCCTCCATCAATGTTCCCCACATCATCTCCATCAATGTTTCCCATCAACGTCCTCTATCAATCATTTCTCAATGTTCCCATCACTTCTCCATCAATGTTCCCCATCACATCCTCCATCAATGTTCCCCATCACATCCTCCATCAATGTTCCATCACGTCTCCCATCACATCCTCCATCAATGTTCTCCATCACATCCTCCATCAATGTTCCCCATCACGTCCTCCATCACATCCTCCATCAACGTTTCCCCATCACGCCCTCCATCAATGTTCCCCACACATCCTCATCAATGTTCCCCATCACATCCTCCATCAATGTTC